AACTTAAGGGAAAATTCTATAAGATGGTAGTGAGGCCTACAATGCTTTATGGTGTTGAATGTTGGCCATTAAAAGAGAAGCATAATACTAAGTTAAGTGTGGCAGAGATGAGGATGCTCATGTGGATGAGTGGCTTTACCCTTAGAGATAGGATAAGAAATGAGCATATACATGAAAAGGTTGGAGTAGCTCAAGTAGAAGATAAGATTAGAGAGAGTCATCTTAGATGGTTTGGTCACATAAAACAGCGGCCTTCCAATGACCCGGTTAGGAGAGTAGAGGTATTAGATTTGACTTATGTTAAGAAAGGTAGAGGCAGACCTAAAAAGACATGGCTAGAAAATATTAGGAATGACCTTTCTTTATTAGATTTAAACGAGAATTTGACCTTTAATAGAACACAATGGAGAAAAAGGATTCATGTAGCCGACCCCACGTAGTGGGATAAAGGCTTGATGTTGTTGTTTAATATGAAACCAAGATTTCATAAAAAGGAAACTTAAAAAAAAAAAAACACAAAAATTCATAATGGTTTCTTAAACTTTTTTATGGAAGATCTAACTTAATCGGGACAAAATAATTTTTTAAGCATAGAATATCATGATATTTTCACATTGATAAATCTAAATGATGCAACCAAAATTTATAGGAAAAAACTAAGATTGCATATAAACTAGGTCTTCCTTTCAAAATAATACTATAATTAAGACACAACAACATTTAAACTTTAAAACATAACATGACACAACTTAAAACTTATGATAGAACATAAAAAACAACACCTAAAGAAGCTTTTCCTTGATTGATTGAGAAGAAAGATACAAATTGGGTGAACACGTGCGGAGAGAAGAAATAGATAAGAAGCCCGAGACGAAATCATTGAAGGGGGAGACGAAGAGGCATAGCTCGCAAGCTATCCAAAAATCCTCAGGTTTTGTTGTCCAAAAATCACTCCACAACACACTTTTTTATGCATCAAAACATCTCATATATATTGGTGAAAACAGGAAGCCAAACAGCCCCAACCACCTCCAGCTGAACCAACCAGAAAAAGGGAGCCAAAAGACCAACAGGCAGCGCCTGGAGCGGCACCCGAAGGGACCATACAGGGCCACAGGGGACAGGAATGGACAGCCACGGGAACAGGAACAGCCAGCCACGGGAGCAGGAGCCAGGGGGAGAAATCGAAGGCCAAACAGTGGGGGGGAAGAACCAGGACCACTTCCATTTATGAGCTAAAAAGGTAGCTGAACTACATAGCAACATAATGAGCTGATTTTAGTAGAAGAACACAGAAGCTCACCAAAGAGGCAGTCAAACCCGAGACAACCAAGCCCACATCAAGGAACCAAATCAGCCAAAAAACTAAGGCACATCCATTGCCCCCCCCCCCCCCCCTGCCCCCCCCCCCCTCTATGCCTTCATCAAATTCTTCCCCGGTTGAAAGGGCTCATCTCCTGATGAGAATGCTTTAGAATTTTCCTGACGAGACAAAGGCGCCGCATCCAAATCTTGAATCAAGGCCGCATACTTCCTCATGATCATCTCTCTTTCTTGCTTGGATTTGGCCTGAAGAAATTGCTTTTTCTTCTCGTATTTTTCTGTACACAAGTGCATCTTCATATGAACTTTGTATAATTCATTTTGAATCGGATCGGTTGAACTTCCTTGCGGCGGAATCCATCTGTTCATAGGGATATCTTCTTCAAGAACATTTGACTTACTTTCTCCAACCTCGGACTCAATTACATCATGTTTTTTCCATTTTTTAAACACTTAAAAAAAGGAAGACACGAATAACTTAGACTCTGATACCAAATTGATGCAACCAAAATTTATAGGAAAAAACTAAGATTGCATAAAAACTAGGTCTTCCTTTCAAAATAATACAATAACTAAGGCACAACAACATTTAAACTTTAAAACATAACATGACACAACTTAAAACTTATGATATAACATAAAAAACAACACCTAAAGAAGCTTTTCCTTGATTGATTGAGAAGAAAGATACAAATGGGGTGAACACTTGCGAAGAGAATAAATAGATAAGAAGCCTGAGACGAAATCATAAAAGAATGGGAAGACGAAGAGGCATAGCTCGCAAGCTATCCAAAAACCCTCAGGTTTTATTGTCCAAAAATTTCTCCATAGCACACTTTTTATGCATCAAATCATCCCATATATATTGGTGAAAAGAGGAAGTCAAACCGGCCCAACCACCTCCAGCCGAACCAACCAGGAAAAGGGTGCCAAAAGACCAACAGACAGCGCCTGGAGCAACACCCGAAGGGACCACACAGGGGACAAGAACGGACAGCCACGGGAACAGCCAGGGGGAGAAACCGAAGGCCAAACAAAGGGGGGGAAGAACCATGACCACTTCCATTTATGAGCTAAAAATGTAGTTGAACTACATAGCAACATAATCAGTTGATTTAAGTAGAAGAATACAGCAGCTCACCAAAGGGGCAGCCAAACCCGAGACAACCAAG